TATAAGGATGGATTTGATAGAAATTTAACATTAACTATCCCATAAAAAAGAAAATCATTAAACAGGTAGGTAAAGATTCATTTTGATACATGATATTTGTATTAAATAACTATTAGGTCTGGTTACCCTTTTGCGCCAAAAAAAATTAATTCGTTTTGTATACAGCGCATTTGCGCCCAATTTACCTGCGCAAACGAATTGGTTATTTAAAATCATAGAATTGACTATGATTATCGATAGCTTAAAATTTTCAAAAAAATATAAATTTATTAACTATTTATTACCTACGTATTGTTTAAAATAATTTGTATTATTATTTATTAGTTATTATTTTTAAAAAAATCCGTACTATTGACTATAATTTAAATAAAATTGTATTGATTATTATTTGAGGAAAAAATATATTACTTTATTATAATTATACCCGGTAAATTTAGCGCAAACGGGCTGTCGGTAAAAATATATCTTTTTTATTTTGGCGCAAAAGGGCTATACCCAAAACGAATTAATTTTTTTTTTTTGGTGCAAAAGAGCGATGCTCATTAGGTAAGTATCTACAAATAATCATTGATTAAATAATCGTTTATGTACATATTGTTTTTATCTATGTATCAGACAAAATCGGTAGCGGATGATGCATTACGATCAGACGAGTAATGAGTAGATGGTAATACTTATATAGTTTTAATGACTTAACCTAACCAATCACGATAATATCAAACTATGTAAATTTATATAGAACATTTAACAATGTGTTGAGAACAATTTTCAATGAAATTATTAGTGTATTAAATCATGTTTGTTTAAGTCATTTTTGTTTGTTCAAGACATTTGAATCTGCGTCGTACTAATAACACTACCTAGTACCTACCTATACAACACTTAATATAAAATTTTAACGAACATAAATTTTACAAAATCATTATATCGTAAGATAGGTTATAATATGTGTATGTATATTTTAAAATAATAATTTAATTTAAAAAAACGATCACAAATCAAACATGATTTTGTAATCTAATGCCTGAGCAAAGGATAATAGATTGGTTTTAATATTTTACAGTGATCATTTTTATTTTTATGATATAAGAAATATAAATATAATGATAATCTAAACATTCTAAACTATAATAATCATTTTTTTTTTTTGTTTATTTTATACCTCTTGAAATCGCTTTACTTATTACTGGCGATATCAAAGACAGCCTCGCTACCATTTTATATAGTCAGTCGCATTTACATATAAACACAATTAAAAGTACCTATCTATGCATATAGATTATTTTATCATTTCGACGCAATAAAAGAAAAATTGCATTTAATTACCTCATCGACAATAACCATTTGCTGGAGTCAGATACCACACATAACCTTGATGTCGATTCAATCTTCTTTTTTTCTCTCGCGTGAAACAAGTAAACCTATGTATGAAAGCAATAAAAACTTTAAATAAGTATTTTATTTTTACAAACAAAATCTTTTCATGTCACAACGAATAATGTATCCTTTATTTTTCTTTGGTCTGCTCTATAGTCTATACTAGAACATGAATCCATTATAATTTATATGGAATCCATATCTCATCAGTTAAACAAAAAGACTTTAAAGAAAACGAATATATGAAAATTTTACAAGTTTTTATTTTTAACAGTCACTTGATAGTCCAGTCAATTTAACAAATATACAAAATTCAAATAATAAAAAAATTAAAAGTTAAGATCAGACTTTAAATATAAAAACAGTACCTATTTAATATATTATAATGTAAGTTATTTTTATTGAAGTACCTATAACACAAATATGCAATACAATTAAATTTAATAACATGGATATTAATTGTACAATTCTTATCATAACTTTATAGCATCACTCACAAATATTATTGAATTAGCCTAAATTTGGTTTCGATGTGGAATTATTTTTCTCTAGAACTGCTTCTTTTGATTCCGTTCAATCCATAACCTTCTCCATTTAATTTGCATAAAGATCGAATTCTGTTACGTATTGAATATATGCATTCGATATCGAAATATTTTTATTCTGTTCCAAGGTAACATTTTCCTAGCCAAGAACTGCTTAATTAGATTCCATTTCATATATTTTTTTTAATATTATGTTTAAATTATTTTTAAACGTGGAATATTTACTAGAAGCGCCATCTGCAAGATTTATTTATTTGTTTAGGGCGAATCCCTTCTATGGCACTACCTAAATTTTTTATTGTGTGAGGAGTTACCACAGTGGAGTATGTCCCAATAAACAAAGTATGTACGTGCTTATAGCAGAAATATTTTAGGGGCAACAAATTTACGTCGTACTAATGTTATTTTTAGTTTACAAATTTGTAAGAGTTTGGAGACATAATAAAAAAAACAAACCTTGCACATTTTTAAAATTGTCAGAATTCAAAACATGATGTCAATTACCTATTTATTAAGTTTCCATAATAAAATTGTAAAAAAAGATTATTAAAGCCTTTCCAAAATTACGGAATTTTGGCAAATTCAAACTAGATTTTTATAATAAAGGTTAAAATAATCAATATATTATTCAAAACTGGCATCTTTCTTTGTTCCTACCAATGAAATATTAATATTATTTTTAATTATTTACCTTTTCTATATTAAAACGCATCAAGAACTATTTAAGGTCCACCATGGATGAGAATAGATTGAAATCATTAAGCTTATTTGCAATAGAAACAGAATTAGTTAACAAAATTGATTTTGATAATGTAGTTAACGATTTTGTAGCTCAGAAGTAACTCCAAAAGCTATAAGTGTGTTGATAAAAAAAAATATTAATCTAGGTATATTATTAACGTTCTTAAAAAAATGTGTTTTTCCACAGTAGATATACCTAGCTTCTTTTTTATTAGCACACATTTTAATATATTTTTTTTTGTACCATGAGTCATGTATTAATACTTTATTTCATGCTTAAAGTTTGTAATATTTGAGAAAGATATTAATAACATGTAGGTACTTACATTTTACCAATAAAAGTACCTAGTTCTTATAACTTCAATACTACCTATATTATAATTTGATGGTTTCAAAAATAACAAAAGTTTTTATCAAAATATAAAATAAAATTATTTATTTATATAAATAAGTGCCAAAAAAAGCAAAAACTTTTTTTTGAGCTTACGGCGACACAGTAGTTAAAACTTAAATCCGGTACTGCATTGGTACCTATAGTACCACAAATATATAATTATTCATACACAATTATTACTCTAAACAATGATAATTATTATTTTGCATTATATCTTATACATTTTGAGAGTTGTATCACTTGTGTATCGTAAAAAACTATAACATTAAATTTACTGGTCAACTATAGACATACGTTTTATATGGATCATGATTCATGGGTATACCCATAATAGGCATAGGATGGTCAATATTTTTTTTTGGGGGGGGACTCTAGCCCTCCTAGGGGTAGACATGTACCAACTCGTAAAAGGTTTCGTCTATATTTTAGGAGGCTATTTTTCGAACTAGGGGGACTAAACCACTCTAACTACGCCAATAAGTGTATCCATAATACGTTAATAGCTTGGTACGTCAGAAATAACTGATCTTGCTCTTTTTCTGTATTTTGCAATTTATCTCCTTTTTTCTTTGATATTTTATGCACGCTCCTTTGCGAGACTATTTTGTTTTTATTTATTTCAATAATTTTGTTCGTCGGTTTTAGTTCTTCAGATTTACGCATTTACTACTCCAATTGTAAGAATTTATTATGATATTTAGGATGACTTATAAAAGGGCTTGAAAATATTTATCTTTTTACAATACGTACGAAAGGAATTAAGGTCAATGGTTTTACAAAATCGTGATTGAAGTCCATATTTTTAGTATTTTCTGAAAACGAATTTTTTGTAAATGCATTCAATGAATACTATTAGAAAACTATTTAATAATACAATTATTAACTTAATACTTGAAAACACGTGTTACTAATAGTTTCCCGCAAATAATGTAGTTAATTGTTTTTAATTCAGCCTAATAATATTTCATTTGTTAAAAGATTCTTTACATTGAAAATCCTTGTTTTATTAAATGTAAATATCGAGCAATTATTCTACAAATTGGTTTAGTTATTTTCCGAAATGCTATAGATGCATGGATGTAAAAATCTATGATAATAAAAGTAGTAAAAGTACCTAGGTAATAAATTATAAAAAAAATAAAATATATTTATTTGTATTATAAATTATTTATTAAGTATCTGTAAGTTTTAAAAATAAAAAAAATGTTTGGTGATTTAATTGGTAATAGGTGGGTAGCCTAGATAACTTTCTATCTCCAGCCCTGAATTTGGTTCCCACTCCGCTCCTAATTGTGTACAATAAATTTAGAAATGAATATACAATAAATATATTTATGATAAGTCAATAACTTATCAATAATAAGATATTATTTCGACATATTAGCACAGAATAATTATTCTGTGATATTAGCATGATTTAGATTATATGTATATCGCGCAATTATCATCAAATTAATTATTCAACTGTAACAAAAACAATAAATACTTACGTAAAATAACATAGTTTTAAATTCAATATTGTTTAAAAATAAAACAAAATTAATTTTTTTAGATAATACTAAATATGATTAATATATGTTAGGAAAATCAATGAAGCACGCACTTTTTCCCAAAAATTAACAAAGTATATAAAATATACATTTAAAATTTTCAATTTTTAAACTTACTATTGTATAATTTAGATTTCTAACTTATTCTACTAAAAATGGTGAGTATACAGAACAATATAAAACTCATAAAACTTTTGAGCCCTACTCATAACAATAAATAGTTTACAATTAATTTATAATTTACAAACCATATGCTTATTGGCTATTTAACATTGACAAAAATACGTATAAATTCATAATATACACCTTTTTTTTTTATTTTATTAAATAAAAAAAATATATATTTACTATATTTTAAGAAATATATAATCTAATAGTTATATAAAATTGTGTTTATGATAAAAATTTCACCAAAATTAAATGTTTTAAATATATAACACAAAAAGATACAATATATATCTATGAAATTCTGAATGATACCACAAGTCAGTCTTTAAGTTATAATTGGCAATTTTTAATATAATAGGTATTCATGATATTAATTTAAAAATAAGCACCTATTCAATTTTAAAATTCATCATCAATGATGACATCTTTTTTAACTGTAATAACAGAGTGTCTTGGTTTGGGCCAATAATTGAAAGTTGGAGTTGCTTTGAAATATTCTGCAATAGTTGGATACTTTCGACCACCAAATGTATCAATAAGTGTGATATATTCAATATTTAATTTTGCAAATTCCCAATGATGACCTAAAATAATAAAATAATATGTTTAGATTAATAAAGTTAAGAAATTAAAAAAATACTATGTCTTCAAGAAATAATTTACCCGGTACAAGTATATTCCATTTACGCATGACAGGATGTCTAGTCCATAAAGCAGTTTTGGCTACATTCCATTCAGGATCAGTTTTATCCAACTATAATGAATTTAAACAATGAGATTAAAAAAATATTATAATACATTACAATATGTATATTGTTATATAATAATATAAGATATTATAAAGATTTTGTAAGATACCTTTACAAACTTTCCAGTCAATGTAAGCTGTGCACATCTTGGATCTTCGGGATCATAAGACTTTTTTTTACAATAATCAGACTGTGCTAAACTTAACACAAGAGAACAGTTTTTAGTTTTCTGAAAAAAAAAAATATTGAGATTTCAATAACCATACTAGCATGTTCATATTTTATTTTTATTGTGATATAAAACATAATAAAATCTACAAATGAATCTAATCATTATTTAATATATATATCAATAATTTTCAATATAATATATAGTAAATTATAATATGTACCACAACATCTTGAAATGACAAGTCCATTGGTGAAGCCATAATGTAAGGAACACCAGAACTATTATTGATTGTTCCATCACTAATTGAATATACTCTACCCATTGGCATACCGTCCATAAATGACTGATTCCCCATGTAAGACAATGTTGCCCAATCTATATAAAGACATAAACATATAAATAAATAAGATATTAGTAAATAGATAAATTTAAGAAATGTTTTAAAAAATATAAATAATATAGATACCAAAACTAGCTACATTATAGGTAACATATTTTTAGAAAATAAATAACAAGTTTGCAAAATAAATGTATCTAGGTATGTAAATATTAACTTATTATAAAATAAATATACTATGCACTTGAAAATATTTAAATATAATTTTATGGTTCTTTTATGAGTAAAGAACATTAAAATTCAATTATGTTAAAAGCATTTGTATCAATTTTAAACATTATATTTTTCTTAGATATTATAAACATTTCAACAGCAACATTTTTAAATAAATATTATTAAACATAGTAGCTTGAATTTGAATAAAATACTAAGAATACATTTAACACTTAGATATTTTTAAAACTAATTATTAAATAAAAATACTAAGTAACTTTAAGTATTACCTGAATGATGAACAATATACCTGGACATCAAAGCAATGTCTTTGACTGGTGGCGGATCTAATGTAAAATGGAAAAATGATATGCATTCTGCATTATTGTACAATTGAGAAATGAATATTACTAGAAAAATAAGCTGAGCGAAAGTCATTTTCAACATTAAGTTATATTTTTTAACACAACAGTAATCAGAACATTCAATATTGTGGAATAACAAAATGTTCGTTGAATCACAAACTATTTATAAGAGACACAATCGACGATTTTGTAGTGCTATTGTGACGTATAAATAACTATGTAACAAACGACACAAATAAAGAGATCAAGAAATAAAAACAAAAGAAGGGCAAATAGGATCAATTATATGCGCACTATTTAATGCAATACCGCTTAATCATTACTTTACCACAGAGACAGTAGTACGACTATAGTTAAAAAATATTATACATAATCGTAATTCGTAATGTAGGTAGATGAGTATTAACTGCTAAACTAATGATGTTATTGTCGAGTGTTTACTGTTGTTTGTTAGTCTTATCATGATCAATAGCGAATGAGGTAATTCTTCCCTAGTGATAACAGTCAGATATAATTCTAAAATAATACTGAACCCGACCAACTGTACAAACATAGATTCCTAAATTCCCAACAAATTACACAAATGACGATACCTAGCATAGTAAAATTAATAAAATATATTCGTTTTTTAATTTAAATATTATTGTATATATAATATATACATATTTATATTATATATATTATTTATATATTATTGTATATTATTTTATACGATTCCAAAAATCTTTAAAATCAATATTTTGGTAAAATAAAAAAACTAATCCCTCTATAAAATACTACTGAGATTAATACGACCTCGATGAAAAATCTCCATTCCGCACTTCAATCGACAAGTACTGGACAAAACTTCAATGAAAATGGAACATTTTAATATTTTAAAAAACTCGCGTACAAATAGTTTTATAGGACAACAGTAAAAATTTAGGATAAAAATTCTAAGTGATTAATTTGTTCTTCGTAACAAACTACATAAGATGTATATTATTTTAGTTTTGTCAAAAACACGAGATTTAAGATTTTTCAAACATCAATGACGACTTCAAGGTTTTTAAAACCAAAAATGTACCTATCAACATTAAAAAAAAATGAGAAACTAAATTCTAAGCCCACTGTAAAATATCACTGCGATCAATTCATACTCAGTGAAAAATCTTCATTTCGTCGTTAAGTTCTTGATAAAACATGAATTTTACAAACTATATTTATAAATTGTGTTACTTGAAATGTTGATAGTTAAAAAATAATGGCACTAATAACAGTTTCCATAAAACGATAAGAAAATATAATTTAATCATTGCTTAGGAATTGTCATAAATTTTGTAGACCATAGTTTGTTAGACAATGTTATTAGTTATTAGTCTAAAGTGACCGGATTTATATGCAAACGCACATATGTATTGGAATAAGGTTTTTGAAATCTGATGAGAATTGTCCCCGAATTAGATCATTTTTATTAAAATAACACTAATTGTATTTTTCATATTATACATAGGTATTTTAACGGTTTTACCTATTAAATGCATATTTAATTCTTATGATAGTGCATATTATTATTTATAGCATATATCATATTTGTTTTTCGTCGTATTTTCACATTCACAGCCACAAATATCGATAAAATTACGACTGGTCATTATTTCCAAAGATAAGATGACAGGTACTAATATTATACAACATACGAATACATATAATATACCTACTAATATAGATCAATTTTTATTAATGTGGGCTAATATTTTATAGATTGAAGATAAAGAATATTAAATGGCGAAAATAACGAAATACTTTTTTATACTTTTAAAACATTTTTATAAGTATCTTTTTTAATACTTATTTTTTACATGATTTTAAATAAAGTATTTTCCATTCAATTTTTAGTGTATATTTAATAATAAATATATATTTTGAGGATTTTTTGTGCATATTAATCCGCACCTTAATTATTACGCTTGACGTATTGTTTTATTATTCTTAATTTAAAATGTTGTGTTGAAAAAAAAATTTTTAAAAAATACAGAGAATTTTAAGCTAAACCAGTTTTTAACAGAATTTATCTTTTTGTTTTATTATAATTCAAAAATAAAAATCGTAGAAGTATAAAATTTTCACCAAAAATTTATATTTTTTTTTTTTCATATAGACAAAAAACTTTATAAGTTTTAATACAAATTTCTCGTAAGTTTTTTTTAATAAAAATTAAAAAAAACAATTAAGCGTAAATTCATAAAAAAAATTGTTCAAGTATTTGAAGTTAAAATTTTAACAAATTTTGTCAAAATCACAAAATGTAACAAATTATAACTATATTCATATTACCTATATTCTTTCTAAATAGTTCAATCATAAAATATTACAACCATCAAACTAAAACACTAAAATATGAGTTTATTTTTATTATTTATAATTGTATTACTTTATTTTTATTCCTATTTTAAACACAAATTTAATGAATATTATGTATAATATGCAATAGTTAGTAAAAAAAATTGAAAATCTAATACACGAATCCCAAAATGTGAGATTTTAAAAAAAAATAACAAAATCAATTTTGTAGATATACCTTGGTTTTACTTGAAAACTGCCAACTATACAACCTAGATTCCATTTTCCCTCAAAACCTATCCCAAAAATTGAAAATCTATTCATTTTTATCCATCTAAAGGATAACAAACATAAAACAGAAAAAACATATATCATTATAAAAAATATATTTCTTTTATTTGGTAAGAAATGTATAACTATACAGAATTTTACACAATAAGTATTAATTATATAGGTGGATTACATAGCATGATGGAGGAATGATGTATTAGGGCTCCCAATGGAGCTACCTACTTAAAGGAATTTTTTTTTTTTGAAGAAGAAAATAATTTTTAATTGAGAAGATTTCTGATCCATTTTCTTTTAAGTCTTTGTAGAGGATTGTCGGGGATGCGGAATGAAGCAAGGTGTCTTATGTTGGGGTTAGTATGTGTGTTGAATTTTTTGTGTAGTTTAAGGTAGGCAGTTATTGTAACTTGGTTTACATATTTAATTTTCAGATCAGAGTGCAAGGATTTATTACTAACAAACCAGGGAGAATTTGTTAAGTAGTAAGTAAGTAAGCATATCTGCATATGGATTAAAATGATTGAATTTTTTGTAAGTTACTTGGAGGACATTGCCCCAAATTTGTATACTATAAATTATAATACCATACAGGAAGAATCAGCACTTTGTAGATGAGAATTTTGTGTTTCAGGTTTAGTTTTGATCGTAGATGATGTAGTAGATGTAATCTAGAGTTTAGTTTCTTTATTTTACCGGATATGTGGTCTTTCCAGGCTATTGTAAAAATATAAGCTTTATATATTCATATACATTATACATAGATGGTTCGTTAGTTATTTTACAACCATGTGTTCAAATTCATATATGAATCAAACGTTGTGCATTCATATTACATGCGTACATTTAGTACTTATATTATATATTATATATATATTAAACATTTGAAATATTTTCAGCAAACTACTGTTTTTCGTACCATTAATTCGATAAATAAAGTCGTTTGATACAACTTCATTGCAATTTACGTCTTTTTTTACATTGAAAAAAAAAATCAACTATTAAATATTTGATAAAATATGAACATATAATACATTATTTATGTTATTTTGATTAGTATTTATACTTTCAAGTTTTACAATAGGTATTTGTGGATTCCAAGTTAGTTTTCTGTCCAAAATTACACCAAAGTATTTGATATTAAGTGACCAAGGAATACTATTACTGTACAATTTAAAGTTACTAGGAGTTTTGAGGCGCCAGTTAGTGAAAAGTACTGCTGTACTCTTTTGGGGGTTTAACATTATTTTCCATTTTTCTCCCCATATTTGATTTCATTCAAGTAAGCTTGAATATTTTAGGTTATTGTTTTGGCGTCTTTAGCGCTAAAGTATATAGCACTGTTATCAGTGTATAGTGCTTTTTTCAGTATTATTAGTTGTAAGGAAGTCCAAAACATATAAGTTAAAAAGTAACAATGAAATTTTTAAACCTTATATATAATCAGAATTCACTGGATAATCTCAAACAGAAAAATTGAGATATTAAAATATTTATTACCAACATGTTACCTATGAAAGAAAACTATATCAAATTTACAAGACATGTACCAATTTTCATTTAGAGTGAAAACAAGTTAAAATTAAATTAAATTAGGTTTTGAGGAATGATTTACACCCACATCATCTTACATGGTTATGTCACTGTTTATCTTCAAATATTTTACTTTTAATGCATTATTTATATGTATTTAAATTAAATTTTAACCTATTTAACACAATAAAAAAAAAAAAAAAAAAAATGACCATTGACTTACAATGTTCAATATAATTCATTAATAAATTTGATTTTTAAGATATTAGTTAAAAAATATATACTTTTTAAATAAATTATGAAATACATAGGTTTATAACAAGTGTATAATGTATGAAAACATAATAAAACCAAGATAAAAATAGAATTTAATTATAAATCTAATTTACAAGCATGTTGTAATTATTTTGTTTGGCAATACGAAAAATAAAAATATTTAATCTAATACACTTTTAATATACACTTAATAAAACAACATCAAATATTAAACTCAATTGTTAAGATAATTGAAAAAAAAGCTTCTCCAAAATTATCATAAGCATTTAAATATAGTGCTTATAATATGTTTTGATAGTAATAAAATATTTTAAGAAATTAGTTTTGAGAAAAAGCTGATAAATCAGTTCATCATATAATTAACAGAAATTTGATTTTAAAATGACACTTATGTTTTTGACTATATTTAATACAAATTTGAGATCAATGGTTCAATTTACGGTGGTATTAAATGATTTCTAAAAAAAAAAAAAAAGAATAACGTAATCATTACATATAAAATGATGAATATAATATTCATAAGAGAACATACCATCAAAAATAAGAATGTCAACTATCCATAATCATACAGAATCATCTAATAGAAACTAATAAGTTTCTAATCACATTAATTCAAAATGACATGGAATACAAGATTTGAGTTAAGACTTCTCATAAATATAAGGCCAATTAAAAAAGTTCTCAGATTTATGTTTATATATTAAACATAAAAAAATAGGAACTTAAATGAATACATGTCATAAGCTTCAATAAAATAGATTAAATGTCTAAAGAGAAATTATTCTCGTCTAAGATTTAATTACCAAAATATTATTATTATTTTTTTATTATTATTTATTTACTTACAAAAAGCAATATTTCTATACTATGAAATATTTTCAAGAAAAAAAATTATACACTACTTAAGTAAATCTATTTCCTCTTCAGTTATTACATCAAAGTCACTTAATGTGCTAGATGATAAGGATATAACATCCAAATCTTGTTCTTTAGCTTCTTCTCCTTGTTCAACTGTTGTACAGTTACGAAACTCTTCACTTTCAGTAATATCTATAAAATATATAATAATAATAATAAAAAAAAATTATTTACATTGTACAATAAAACTGTAAATAACTTACTTTCATTTACTGCTTCTGAAAAATCCATAAATGATTTATCAATTTTGAACTCATTAGTAATAGAGATGTCTTCAAACACAGTTTCCAAATCGGGGATGTCATCTTAAAAATAAAAAATTTAATTAAAAATACAGGAAATAGTTTATATATTAATCAATTTTATTACCAGGTTCAATTAAATCATCCATAAATTCATAACTATATGATGACACTTTTGAATTTGTATTTTGCTCATTTATATTTGATTTTACTTCTAACAAATTCATGTCAATCCAAAGTAAAATTATAATATAAGCTGTAGAAGTATCATTCAATAATTAAAATCAAAATTATAAAAAAATATTAACATAAAAATTTAAAAAATATTTAACATACCCATTACAAATGTAACAGTCATCATGGATACATATGAAGTTAACCGTTCCAGACGATCAATGGGTAATTCAAATATATGTTCATTTGCATAACATATAAAAGGGACTGCAGCCCAAGATAAAACCCAAATACAAAACAAAATCTAAACAAAACCAACTTAGTATTCAATTTTAAATAATATGTTCATATTAATAAATTACCATTTCATCAACACTTTTTGTTATGTGTTGATGTCCAAGAATTTGTGATGAATATGTTCTTATACTAAAAAAAATTTTTAAAGTAAATAATTAATGTTTTTTTTATTAAAACGTATTATTTTTAGAAAATTATATAGTATTATATATGCTTATTACATACGTATCATGTAATGGTGTCCAATTAAAAGTTTCATCCCAAAATTCAAATACAATAAAAAATAGTATCTGAATAATGTTGCAATAAACAAAGGGACCAATAAAACCGTAAGATCTAAAAATATAACAATAAATTTTATAATTAAAAATAAAAGTAAAAAATTTTAACAAAACAATGAGACTTAATAAATAGGTACTTATTATATTATTTGTTTTTTTTTTTAAATCTAGAATATTTAAAAATAAAATCTTAGCCATATGAACATTGCCTAGGGTGCCAAATTCAAGCAAAACAAAATTGTAGGTATTATAAATAATAAATGGTAGTGAAATTGTCACTATTTTACACCATAAAAAATAGGTAACATAATATTATGAATTCTTTAAATAAATTAACTATACAAGGGATATCCAATACTTTTTTACATTCAAATAATTTTATTTTGTTATGAAAAATAAAATACAAGATTAAGATAAAAAAAATACATATTACATAAAAAATATATAGCACCAAATTATGTTTTTTTGTTAAAAAGAAGAAAATAGACAAAATATTCAAATGTAAAAGTTTTTTTTTTTAATTATTAAGTAGGCATGTATTATTAATTCATTTTTATCATGAAATTCTTTGTTTAATATCTTAATATTTTATTGAACTTGAACAATAACTAGGTATAAAAAAAATTCATAATATTAACAATTCAAACAATAAAATTCCATTACACTTTTAATCTCAATGATAACAGTAGAATATTTGGCAAAAGCTTACCTAAATAATCCTATAGTCCATAATACTCTATACTATACTATTAAAACGTAATGAATCATCACTGATGATATATGGTAATCAAATCAAGATCACTTGGGTTATGTGATAATTAAAGCATTATGAATTGATATTTGCACCATTCAGTTATTATTATTTCTAAATACCTCATTATTTTTTCTTTTACAATTAATTCTAGATATTATATCTGAACTTTTTTTTTATTTATCACTTAAACTTAAGTATAAATCTCATTTTTCAACATTGTATTAGTGAAAATATAATTTACTTTAATTTTACCGAGAAATTTCTGTCAATTGTTTGTTATCTATTAAAATGTATTGCTGAATGGTACTTTATGCTAAGTATTTACTATTGAAATTAATTAGGTATCTACCTACATCAATTATTTAATAAAAACTATAAAAAATTGATAATATAGTACAAAGATTCATACTTAAATTTTTTAAAATCTTTTTTTCAATTCTAAAAAATAATTACAAAATAATTCAATTAAATGTATTAAAAAAAATTAAATAAGCTACTAGACATCAAATTCAACTTAATTTAATTATTAACAAAAAGTATTAAATAGAATTTCATGAAAAATGTATATACATTATGATTATCTAACTGAATATCATAACAAAAACAATATTATATAGGAATGTAGTCTTTATTTTTTTCTAAAAACACTATTTTAAAGTGTTTGTTTTGTTTTTAGTTTAAGTAGTTATAATAATAGTGCCAATACACGGCCTTTGGCCTTGGGACAATTATTCTGTTTAACCCCACTTGCCAACTTGACTTTAATATTTCCTTTCATTGGGAAACGCCCCATAGAATAAGTCAACAGTTCTTAAGTTGTTTTTTTGTTTGTTATCAATAATTAAATTATTCAAAACATTTTAGTAGATAGATAGTTATATTACTATGATTTATACTATGACTATGCAAAAGGATACCATTTGTTGTTAAGTGACTATTACTGTAAAAAACAAAATATTAAGTAAATGGTATAGAATGTATAGATACTCAAAAATATTAATACTTTACTTAATACTTATTTAAATAAGTATATAAATTACTTATGGTATCTACATGCATAATTTCATTAAAAAAAAAGTTAAATATATCATTATTTTAGTAAAAATATATGTAATAAGTTATCCATATTCCATACTTGATTAGAATGTAATAATTAAATAAATTACTATAATTGTAAAACAGTTTATGATAGGTATTATGTAACGTGCTATTAAACAACTAAGTAGGCAATATGAAATCAAATATGTTGACATATAAACAATTTTAAATAGTAATATAATATGAAATCATTATTTTTAATTTGGTTATAAACATTTTAAACTACTAGATTTTTTGTTTAATTTGTTGAATGACAAGAAAAGAAGGTTTAGGTAAGTATAAAAATTAATAAGTTATTTTAATAGGATTTTTTTCTACGTTTTTGTCTAGAATTTGGAGTTTGTCCAAAAACCATTTTTGTTTATACCTAATATAAGAAAAAAAAAATTATTATTTAATAATTTTATATTTATGCTATAAAAGCGTACATATGAACAAATTATAAATAGAATCTAAAAAAAAAAGGAGATGCCATCAATCAGAAGAGGCACATCGATTTAAAGAAAAAATGTAATAGCCAAAACATGTAGTAAAATTTCAAAAGGACGTCATCTACACATCATAAACCACTTGACGAATACTATAGTGGATTGCTTGAATGAGTAAATACCACAATGACACAAACTCATGTGTAGGAAACAAGTTAGAAAGATGCACGCACACATGAAGGTCTTTACAAGATCTATGTAAGAAATTTTTACTATACATTCAGCTGTGGAATGCAGGACAGAGATTTCCGGTCATAAACCGTACAGCTCATTAACATAAGACGTTACACTCACTCGTAGACAAGTATGCTAGGATAGATGTAGACGAAAAACCACGGGACCAGCCAATATGAGCCCAGGTAATTCTTAAGCTGTACGAACATGACGACGATTCGTTCGCAAGCGTGCAGATCGTTGGTGTCGGGCGACGGCTTGAGTGCCGCCGCCGGGCACCGGGACCGCCGCTCGACGTCGTACTCCGGGTTCATCACTGGACAGCGGTTCATAGCGTCCATCGTCCCCGCGGCGCTACAGCCGATCCTCAATAACTCGGAGGTCGTTTCACGGTGGCGGAGTGGACGATCGACAGCGACGGCAGTGGCGTTCGTCTCATGGGACGCGCGTGAAACAAGACAACAACGTCGGCAAAAAAAACGGAATATAAATCCAATACAGAAATATTGTCGAATTATTGCGTGCGACGGCGTACAGTCAACAGGACGGGTAAACACCAGCGAGATCGGCGAAACGCAGTGCACTAGAGCAACTAGAACAGCAGCGCGTACGAACTACGAGACTGTTGTAATAATAATAATAATAATGATAAATGGTAAATGGTAATATTATTATTACTATACCGAAACCTATCTCGGCCCACGGCACGATCGCCGCCGCACGAGTCTTTGTTGTTGTTGATAAACAGCTGTTCGGCACATAAACAAGTGCGCCGCGCCGCACCACCACTGCACCAGCACGAACACAGGGGCCGTGAACCGGGCGACGAGCCACGCTATTGGTCGAAAATCAACACGGGCGCACGGCTGTCGAAAGTTCCGTCGTCGGTATTATAATGTTATTGTTATTGTGGTGTGATCGTCATGTTTTGTCGTCACCTACTGACTGCGGCTACTGAGTAGGTATAACCTACTTATTAATATTATGTTAATCACTATGGCTTGCCACGCACGATCAAATCAATTTATAATTAGTCATTATTACGACGATCGTTGTTGGGGTCGTCGTCGACGTCCGCCGTGTATCGTGTATGTTACTCACAAACAGCACTACAAGGCAGCTCACACGACAAATTTTTGATTTCCTAAATTTGTATTCAAGCGTCAGATTTTGAAGTTCACGATTATGTGGTGGCGGGGAGGGTGATACGCGGAGAATTATCCGTTCAACCCAACCCTACTACTCAAACATCATAATATTACGGTTTTTATTGAAACTATACCTATGCATTTTTATTTTCTAGTTGATTGGAGTTGAAAAAAAATGCATTGGGTATTTTCGTGTGACACTGTGACTCATGGAAATCCATAAAATCAGAGCTGCTATACCACAAGTCTAAAGCTTTTTGTCATTTTCATCACACCATAGCCTATAGGAAGTTAAATTAACATAAATTTTTCATGACCATTATTTGAAGTTAAATTTTTAACAAAATTGCAGAATATCTACTCAGATGATTTTTTTATTTTGTTGAAGGTAATTCAAAAATATATTAATTGAAAAAATTTCACTGAACATTTCACTATTTTTACTTATACAATGAAATTTTCAAAATATTCATTTCAATTTTAAGCTATTATTATAGATATTTGACTTTTTTTGATTTTTAAATTTATTTTTATAAAGTTTAGCTAAAAATATTTTTTCTTGATTAACATTCTTAAAAATACAATACATCATTGCATTATACAAATTTCTTCATTATTGTTTTTTAGAAATTTTGGAGAACAAAGTCACAATTTTTCATATAGATATTTGAAGTTCACATTTTAAAATTCTAGAATTATTAATAAAATATCTACAACACTCCCTTGAATTATCCCCGTGATTCTCAAAATGAAAATTTACCACGAGGATTTAAATTATATAAACTAATCTATACTAATTAATTGTAATACGATTGTACTATAGACTATAGTGCTATAGTAAACTATTGCTATTTCGTATATATCCTATTGTCCTACCCTTTTTCCTTTGTTTTCTGTTCATTATGTAAAACATAGAATTATATTTTTCCTCTATGTATAAATGTGTTTATTCTCAACTTCTAATAACCATTGTTGTTGTTCCTTTAATATAAAATTGAATAAATAAATAAAATACTTTTTTTCTCTGAGTGCGTAAAATAGTAGGTAGCTATAAACAGTAGAAAATCGTTTAATCATCACTCTCTGTTATCCGTCATCGGTCATCGTCGAAAAACGGTCTTAAAACCGCCAACTAACCACTCAGAAACAGTAGCAATATTATCAAAATACATTGATTAATGATTGGTTTTAAGTGCAGCAGGAGGTAAATGCAACGCAGGTCTTCGTAAAATACGATACATGTCCGCTCAAAAAGTTCATGCATCAAAAAAATTATATAATATTATATATTATTAGTACTTATTATTAAGTATTAACTACATATTATTTTTGTTTGTGAACCACATTGTAAAATATATACGTTTATTGAAAAATTTCTGTTAACCGTCTATTCGATTAACAGTCATTGTTCCAGTCCCGACATTGACGATTAAGCAAGTTTCTACTAATCTACTGTAATATATTATAATTACTTTGTTAGCTGCAGTTATTCACATAAATAATAATATTTTAATCGGTTCTATTTATATCAACATGATGGTATGCACACACTACTATACTGTCTCTACTTGTAATATAATATATATATGCACACATTTTTTGTTATACTTTATATGCATTTATACATTACATACTTAAAATACCTAATGTAATTATTAGCCATTACTGATATACAATTAATACATAAATTGCAACTGAGTAGGTATACGAATCATCAGGATTCAAAGATCAAAGATTTTTCAAATTGTATGTTACTATAATTTACATGAATAATTATGTGAGGATTGTTATGGATGAAATTCATCTCCAACCATAATTATTAGTGTTGAAAATTTATAACTCTAATCTATTGAACACTTTCAAATTTTGGTAATTAATTTTAATTAAAAAAATTGTGTTTAAGTTATTTTTAGTTTAACCCTAGGCAAATTTTTTTTTAACATTTTAAAAATTTTTGGTTTTTAAGTAATTTTTTTTTTTTTTTTTGAGGGAGGACATTTTAGAGTTTTAGAGTTTTTAGATACAAAAAATGAATCTGAAATTTTATTTTTAGATTCTTACACACCAAAACAGTTTTGTATAAATATAACAAATTATAAAATAAGTAATCGTATTATTATTATTATATAATTTTTGAGCTATTATAAATAAATTTTTAAACACCTAGAATATAATATGTTTAATGTAATATTTTTAATCCTTTTAATATTTTTGTGACAAATATTTCAAAAGATTCTAGTTATTTTATATTAATATGTTAAAAATACATTTATGGTACAGATATGAGAGGACCTATGTAAAATATTATGGTATTCATCATAGATCTATAGGTCTATGGTATTCATGTACATTTAACTGTACAACACATCATAGATATACCTAATATGAATTTAAAAAAAATTATTATTTATGGTTTGGTATGCTGCCTATTAATCAGTTTTTTAACCACACATTCTATATATGACACAATGACTGCGTCATAGTAACACAATAATATGTCCCCCACTTAGCTTAAAAGAAAAATAATATAATCTTTTATTACATGTGACGTACATATAGTATAGTACAAGTACCTATATTATTTTTTTAGTATGTATATTAATATTATTTTTAGCACATTATAATGTCCATATTAAAATTATTCTATATAATATTATTACGTGTCACACGACACGTATGTATAATAATAAATTGCATTTTGCAGTTGAATACTAATTGATTTTACTTACAATTTTACAATATTAATAAACTTATAGTATGGTTATAATTTACAATAACTTCTAGGTAGTAAAAGTAAAGATCATTAAAAAAATATCTATATGAACTCAAATTATCAGAAACATTGTTTTAAATTTTAAGAAAAATAAATTTACATTCAATACTATTTACTTAAACATAAAACATTTATATAATAATCCGTCCAGTTCATCTTGGCACTCGGCAACTATTTAAAACAGTAGTTCGAAAATTATATTTTTCATTTTAATAATATAATTTCCTGATCACATTTATTTTTTTATAAATATAACGGTTGCTAAATGTCGAGATGAGTTAAACGGGTTGTACATACTTCATTATAAATTATTATAATGACGTACATATACGTAAGCAATCAAGTAAAAAATAACCTTTTAAAAGTATATGATGTATTGTGTATGGTAATTACCTACTTATTATGAATTCATTAAATAACTATATACACTTTAGGCCCGGCGCCCAACGAAGTATCATGACATGTGGTGTAATACAATTCATTTAACTTAATATGCTACCTATACTTTATAAAAACAAAATAAATATATGTATGATAAAACACTAACTACTATACACTGATATAGCAATTTGCCTGTTACGTTAATGTTATTCAAATGCAGCATGTTTTAATGTTCTATGTTTTGTTTTATGGACATACATTACGTCGTTTATATTACAAATAACGCACAAGTGTCTGTATAATCAAATATATTATACTGTGAAAATACTGGATAATTTCATTTTAACCACTTTATTTCAAATTATTACAATATTATCATTTATCATAATATACAATTTAATATTGTCATATAATATGTATATAAATATTAAAAATTGTGTATGTATTACTACTATATCAGTGGTGTGTTAAACTATTTGGAACAGAGGAATATGATTTTTTAATTACATTTACAGACCCTGTTTTAACAACAAAAAAAAAAATAATAATATATTCTCACATTTACCTCTAAGCACTTGTTAATTAATAATTATAATAATAACTTAAAATACTGAAATATTTTATTATTATTATTATTATTTTCTTTTTATAATGTTGCTATGGGAAATAGCTACTTGCCTACTTATAGCAGTATTCATATACATTCTTATGACCGAATGAAAATGTCCATACCATTATGCATTAAAAAAAGACGATTTCTAGCTCTAGAAAATCTTAAATTCAATATTATCATATATTTTTATTTTAAACCTAGTTAAAATGTAAATAATACTAAATGTCTAAATAGTCCATATTATCTCTTACTATTATTATAAGTTCTTATAAAAATTTCACTATACTAACTTTGAACATTAAATCTTAAGTCAATCAGTCATTATTATTGGCATTCCAAATCTTTTTTTTCATTAATCGTGTATAAAGGGAATATATTGTGTGCTGTATATAATTTTAATAATATATTGACATAAATCATAATGGGGAACGGTAAATATACTTGCATTATGCTTAGTGTTCTTATCACATACACATTTAAACATTTTATTGTTATCAACCATCTTAATTTCTATGAAATATTAAAAATCATACAGCGAAAAATATTAAAAACATGAAGGTATTTTAATTCTAATAATAAATTTTACAATTATTTCTGAGTTAAAGACAAATCAATACCTACTTAAACCAAAAATTCAAGGGAGTATTGGACACCTTCAATTATCCCATCAGCACATTCCTGTTCAGTGTACTTTATATTATAATAATTGTAAGAATACAATGACATTATATAAATGTTTTACTTATCTTTAACAAGCATGTGGTAACTGCAATTTTGAACTCTGTAATGGTTAGGTCGGAGA